CTTTTTTTGGGGGGAAAGGTCTACAGAGTGTTCAGGCTCTCACTACCAGATCAGACTCATAGTGATCTGCTTATTTACAGCCACCCAAGAGCTGGAATTACAGGTGCACACCACCATGCCCAGTCTCAATGGCCATCTCAGTGCACCCCTGGGGGTGGGGCCAGCATGGCAGGCCCAGGGATCTGTACCTGCTTGTAGGTTCTTTAATCCACTCAGCTATTTTGCCGGCCCTTTATAGGATTGTTTTATAATATTCACTGAAAAAGTCAAATGTAGAACAGCGCAAAAGATCTGTCCATGCACTAGAGACTCAAAGGGCCAGCTGAGAGTCTGGCTCCCATGCCAATGTTCTGCAGCAGTTCAGATGAAGACCCAGAGCTCATGCCAATGTCTCATGCAAGTCTATGTGGAGGATCTCTATGGGGAAGGCCCAAAAGCCAGTAGTAGAAGCTGAAAAGTCTGTGCCAACAGGGTGAAGTATCTGTGCCACCAGGCTGAGAGATCTGCACCAGAGCTGTTTCAATGAATAATGTAGTCAGTACCCAGTGGTTTGAGGAGCAGAGAGCAGATGGGCCCTTATTTACCTTTGTTGTTGCAAAATTTCAAAATAATAATAAATAGGGCTAATGGATGGAGTTGAGATGGGTGGAGTTCCAGAAAGCATTTGCCCATGCACAGGAGTGTTTCTGAAATGCCACTTAAGATTATAAAGACCAGAATTGGATGGGCAAAGGAGAGGTCGACATAATCTTTCATTCTCAGAAGCACTAATATATGGGCACCCTGTAGAATCCATCTTACATTTCACTCTTTTCCCGCATGTCATTGTTAATGAATATGTACTGGATGGTCAACCATGGGCAGGCAGGCATTTCTACCCCACACAGCATGTTGGTTGCTTGAGGGAGATACTGTCTTCTTTGTGCATCATGAAACCTGAGACTTGTCATGCATGATTATGTGTCTCCCTTAATAAGAGAGAGCAACTGCTAGCTTCAAGTTCAGAATGGAACCTGGTTAGGGAGGGGAACATCCTGCTAGCCAGATGGGGAAGAGTTCTGCCAGCTTCCAGTGCCAAAGAAACCTTGGATTGTAATCAATAACAAACCTATGAGTAGACCACCCAGGAAATTGTGGCTGTGAACCAAACTTCCTTCCTACCTTGGTCTAATCTCTTGGTAACTTTTCTTGTTAGTTTCAATTTTGCTACTACGATCTTGGGAAAGAATCCCCAAAGAAGAGATTTTTAAAAGGGAGTAGGCAGAAAGAATGGTTGGAAAGCTAGCTTTCCGATGCTGGCTCACACGAAAGAGAGTTCTGGTTAGGTACATTATCCAGGGCTGCAAACTTTAATGAATTTTGATTGATGGATGGAAGTCAAAGCTAAAAACCAAGGGAATGCCTACACATGTTTAAAGATTTTGAATTAGAAAGGCTTTCCTCCCAACTTTTCCTAAAAGGAAGTCACATAGAGAAAGCAAAATAGTGATTAAGGAACTAGGGGGGCAACAGCAGGCCACTTTCCTCTGGGGTTTTCTGAGTTCCCAGGCCAGGCCTGCCGGGCTGTCTGCTTGGGAAAGGAGCAAGGGCTCTCAGCCACAGTTTCTCATCTCAACTCCACATCTTTCTGCCAGATGGTCAGGAGGTGCTGGCTCTTCTGCTAAGTGCAACCTGAGCCCAGAGCACTTTGGTCCACTGACTTCCCCCTTGCTCTGTCCCCTTCTCCAGCAAGGTTCAAATCTAGGTGCCAGGCAGCTGAGAGGCCAGCGGCTTTGGTACTGCAGGCAGAATCTTCGCAGCAGCAGTGCTGGCTCCAAGGTGCAGGAAATGCCCACTCTAACCACCTTTGTCCTTTATAGGGTAAATACACTCTGTCTTGTCTTAAGTTTATCTGTAGTATTGTCCTGACTTTTAAAAATTGCATCCATGATCTGAAAAAATTGTGAATGTTGTATATAAACTTAAGAGTGCAGATCCAGCCCATTCATAATTGTTAATTTAAAAAGGAAAGGGGAAAAATCATGTGTATATATGTATATACATAGGCTAGCTAAGATGATTGTATTACTAATTTCTATTGATTTTTGAAGGGATCAGTTAATGCTTAAATTTTTTGGTTTGACCAATTATATACACTGATATCTGGTACTCTGAGCAACTACATTGAAGACAACAATGTATAATGTAACAGCTATTGTTGAATATCTGTCATCTGGGTTTTTAAAAATTGTATAGTTTCTAATGTCTTATGTTATTTTTTATCCTCTTTATAATAAAAATACCCCCCCAAAGACCTCCAAAGACCTAAAAAAATAAATAAGTAGGGATGGAATGGATAAGACCAAGTTTTGCAGGGTGCTTCTTGCCTGGAAGATTTGCTCCCAAAGGGACTTGAGTGTCTCCCTGCTCCTTTCTACACTGACTTCCTGCGGTAAAGTTTGGGCAAGGGCCTGGAGATCCACTCAGGAGTCGGAAAACTGCCCAACCTGGGGAGGCGCCCCGTCGGCGGCCACCCCCTTCCGGAAGGCCGGCTCCTTCTGCCCTTGAGTTCTAGCTCGGATGAGGACCGATGTCTGCATCTCCAAGTCTTCAAGGCTACCCGAAGTCCTGAGCCAGAGAGGCTGGGCGTAGCTGGGCGGGAGAGGCAGGCTCTGTGAGCTCGCGTTTGAACTTTGTGCCCAAGAGACATCTGGGAAAACGTTTCTCATAGAAAATTATGTCATTTATATAAATACTTAGCAAATAGTTAGCAAATATGCATAAGTTTTCGCAGAAGCTGTCGGCATATTAACTGTACTGGTGTCATCGGGTAACATAAACACCAACAGCAAATAGGTGATTTTCCAAAAGCGCATGATTCCTCTGGAGAAGACTGTGAACTCTGTGGAGACAGCTAATCGTGCATGTTGGTGCCTACCTGTGACCTCTCCTCCCTATTACTGACCCTTGTCGCCAAGCATGCTGCCTGTGGGAGGAACAAGGCCACTCCCCCTACTGTTGGGTCCTGGTCTCCAGGGGAAACCGATGCCAGGAGTCAGACCTTTGTCACAGAGAAAATTCTGTCAGAGAGGAAAGAAATGCAATTGTCAGATGAGTGTCCCGATAGGAGAGGACGGGGAGACAAGAAACTGCCCCGGGTCTGGTCCTGGAGGAGACCAGTGACTCGGGCCTGCGGCCCGCGGAGAGGAGGACTCCAGCGAAAATCTCAGCAACCAAGTCGCGAGTGCACCGCGGAGGGAACAAGCGCCCGGTCGGCTGAGGCAGCTTCCCCGCGCTCCCACCCCGACGCGGACACGCGTTCCCAGCTCGCTCCGGTGCTGCTGGGGACATTGGGCCGACGGCCGGCGGCCGTTGTCCGGCGGGGCCGACAAGGGGTGGAGGAGGTGGGTGGACTAATGATGAAAAAGCCTCCTCGGTCCAGGCTCCTTAATTAAATGCATGGAAAGAGCCGAGGCGAGCACATCTGGTTTCAATCTGCAGCTCTTTGATGGCATCAAATGTTCTTTTCCCAGATCAGGGCTGGAAGTTCTGGGCTAACTGCGGCCGTTTGCGCACACGCGGACCCGTCTTTTCCTCTCTATCGAGCCTCTCGGCTCTATCAGGGGGGAAAAAAAAAAAGAATCTAACAAGAGAGCGAGGAAGCGCATGTGTGTGTTTGTGTTTAAAGAACAAAACCCCAAAAACTAAGGGCTTAATATTTTATTTATTCTTCATATACACTTTTCTAATGAAACTGAATTTCCTGACAAAACTGCTCAGTACTTTTTTGCCCTAGGTCAAGTTAGGTCTGGGCGAGCGACAGAGCCCTCGGGGAGACCGAGACGGGAATTCTAGGGGTTCCCGCGCCTTCCGCCCGCCCCGGGCGCTCCAGTTCTTCTGGGCCCAGCGTGGTCACCCGGGAAAGCGACCTTGGCCACAGCGAAGAGGTTACAAGATTAGCAGGACTAGGTTCTTTGCTACTTAATCCGTTCGCGTAGTATTAAGCAACGCCCAGGAGGATCTATGTGGCGCTTCCTTGATCTCCGAAACCATCCGGAGTCTGCAAGAGAGGCGTGGGAGCGCCTCCGTGATTACTGCGCTTGTTGTTTTATTGCATTATTTAATAGGCTGACGGCGGAGCCAAACACAGCCTCGGTCTGCTAGCTCTCCAGCTCTTCTATCTGGACGCGCCCTGCGCTCCCCTTCAAAAAAAAAAAAAAAAACCTGCTAAAACAGCGGGAAACACTAAGGGGGGAGAAAATTTGATTGTGATGGTTATGGATTGTTTTTTTTCCAACAAGTTTCCCTGTAGCTGTTATCAAAACATGCAAATGAGTTTTTTCCAACGGGATCTTAAACAAATCTGGAGGAGTTAATGCCAAAGCAAAATAATCAGCTCGTTTGAAGTTACTGTGGGTTTCAGTTTGTCTTTTCTCCCTGATACTATTGCAGGGGAATGTAATTAGTCCTTCACTTTAAAAATCCAAGGGTTCTCTCTACTCTCCCCTTCCTCTTCCTTTCTCCTCTCCCTCCCTTCTCTCTCTCTCTCTCTCTCTCTCTCTCTCTCTCTCTCTCTCTCTCTCTCTCTGATGTTGGCAAAGGGGTTTTCTTAATCAGAGTTTTTTTTTGGTCTGAGGGAAAGGAGGAAGAAGGAGATTGCAATGGAGAAAGGGGGTCTGTAAAACGTCAGGCGCGGCACAAAGGCTTTGCCACGTAATTACAGGCTCCTATTAAGTGGAGATCTGCCCTCCCAGGGGTCTCCAATTTTCTTGTATTCCCTACAAAGTCTCCTCTGCATGCCAGTTTGTGCCTTTTGAAGTGCCAGAGAGCTTCTTGATCCAACTGAGGAGGAAAAAGGAGCTCAGCGAGAAGAGGGGGAGAGCGAGAAGGGAAAGGGGGGAACACACCACCACCCTCCTCTGGATTCTTGGAGCCCTACATTTTTTTACTTTTTACTTTTTTTTTTCTTTTCTTTTTTTTTAAACTTTTTTTTTTCGCCTTACGAAAAGTAAAGTGAGAATCCTGCTCTCTAATACATCTGCAAGACATCACCCTCTCCTGAAACTTTAGTCACTCCTGAGAATCCACGGGAGTGCAGAGAGGGGGGAACACGTTTTCTTGAAGATGTTTTAAAGCTGGAACAAGCCTCCTTCTGTTGATGCTTGAACTCTTGCCGGGGAATAACTCTCTTAAAAAAAAAAAACATTTTTTAAAAACCCACTTTGATTCTTCTCTCCCACCCCTTCTTCTCTCTTCTGTTTGCCTAACTCCCCCGCCCTGCTGGCCTCCCCTTTTCCCCTCTCCCCCTTATTCTTACGTTTAGGGTGCGCGTGGTGCGGATGCGTTTTGAGAATTGATTTTTCTTTTTCTCCTGACCTAAACAGGGTAACTTTTTAAGTTTACTTTTTGGTGTGGATTATCTCTGTTTGGACCGCGCCGGACTTGGCTTCAGGAAAGCAACCAAGGCTGCGGAAGGCTACGGGTGCAGAGCTCTCTGCTCTGCAAAAGGGGTCCCCGCCCTTTCCCCCACTTTCTCTCTCTCTCTCTCTCTCTCTCTCTCTCTCTCTCACTTGCGCGCTCTCTCTCTCTCTCTCTCTCTCTCTCTCTCTCTCTCTCTCTCTCCACTCCCCCTCTCTCTTCCCTACTCGCCTCCTCTCCCCCCTCACCCCCACAGCCTTTGGTGTTGATTCGAGCGGGAAGAGGGGGGTGGGTGGGATCGAGGGGGGACCATGACCTCCAGCTACGGGCACGTTCTGGAGCGGCAGCCGGCGCTGGGCGGCCGCTTGGACAGCCCGGGCAACCTCGACACCCTGCAGGCGAAAAAGAACTTCTCCGTCAGTCACCTGCTAGACCTGGAGGAGGCCGGGGACATGGTGGCAGCACAGGCTGACGAGAGCGTGGGCGAGGCGGGCAGGAGCCTGCTGGAGTCCCCGGGTCTGACCAGCGGCAGCGACACCCCGCAGCAGGACAGTGAGTGTCTGGGATCCGGGCGCAGGGCCGGGTAGAGGGCGGCAGCAGGAGGAGCTCGGAGTTGCTGCGGGAGCTGCAGCAAGCGCCCGAGAAGTGGTTGTCGCTGTTAGGGAAAAGGGGTGATAAAGAAGGGCTCCGAGGTGGCGCGGGAGAGGCCCCTGAGGCCTGGCGCTCTAGGTGCAGCTGTCTTGGCTGCTTCCGTGTTTCGGCGAGGGTAGTTGGCTGGCTAGGCATCCAAGGGCTGGGACAGTTACTGTCCGGGCGCGATCCGGACAGCTAGCGGGTCACAGAAGTGAAGCAGAGTCCGCGGGACTGGGGCGGCAGAAGGTGCGACTGAGGGATGGGGGCGCGGCTCTGCGAAGCGCTTTTGCCGACCTCAGGGCCAGCGCCCTGTTCCCCAAGCTGCTCGGTGTCCCCTGCTGCCGCCTCCACCTGCAAAGGGATTTAAGGTTGAGTGTAAAGCCCTGCTGACCAGCGCGCACTCCGGAGAAGCAACAGGAATGTCTCTTAGAGATGACATCCGCGATCCCAAAACGCTGAATCCCGCACCGGGCACAGAAGCGAGGGAATTGCGGGCTTCAGAACTGAGGCCAGTGTCACATTTCAGGCGCTATCTGTTGGCCCTGAGACCTGCATTAAAGTCCAAATACAAGCTTCCTTCCCTAGGGTGATCGACTGATCCGTCACATGAAGATCTCGCACCATCATTAACTTTGCCTTTAATATATGACTTCGAGTGTATCCGAAGGTCCCTAAAATGTAACTGTTTTGTCTGATCCACGGATAGTCCCTTCGCTTCTCAAGGTTGCAAAATCTGAGTTGGGCTGGAAGTTATGAAATAATTGCTTTATGTGCCATTAGTGCTATTTTGTGAAATTTAGGAACTTTGGGAACCCACCAAAATTCTATGATTTTCACAAAACATTATTCATGTCAGACTTTAAAAAAACAGCCACAAAAAGAAAACTGGGCTCAGGAAACGCTGGAAATGAACTGGGTGCCTTGGTGGGGCCCCACTGGATCTAATAGTAGAGAGGCCAGAGCTCTTGCCTCTTATTCTCATTCTTCAGCTCAGCTTTGGTGAGGGACTGAATGATTTTAGCCAGAGGCGGTCTGGATATTATGCCCACTTAGTCTTTCAGAGGGTGAGGTGGATGCTGAGGAAGTCTGACCTGGCTTCTCAGTCAAGAAAGGCAGCAAATTTTGAGGAATGAAGGGTCAGTGTCCCCCAACGACTTCAGAAGGGTTGGTTCAGAGGCAGAAGCATTCTCTTTAGGGTTTGGTGCGTTGGAAGCGCATGCTCTATGGTTCAGCAGGATTTGTAAAGTGTTTGTGAGGCACTGTTCACTCTAACACAGTGCAATGCAAAATACTATTCTTTTTGAATACTTTAGTAAGGAAAATGTAAAACATACAAAATAATATTTGGAACCCAGGTTTATCTGCTTTACAATTCTGACATTCCCATCTTGCCATGCCTAATTAGTAATCACAATATTTATATCTGTTTGGAGAACTGAAGCCCGACTTCCAGTGGAAAATGGGACTGTGAAAAAACTGCTGTGTAGACCAGGATGGGGAAGAGAAATTAGATAGTTCTCCTCTGTCCCAAAAGAAGGGCAGAGGACAGGAAAGCAGGACCAAGGCCAGGCACCCTCAGCAAGCCCAGGGTCCTCACAGGCCACAGGAAGTGCTGAACACTTCAGGGAAGGACCAGTTGCTTTGCTTCTTCCAATGGATATGAGAAGAGAGCTCTTGACTTGTCAAGGACATGTAGCAGGGGATCTTCTGACACATGGGTGGGCCTGTTGCTGAGGCATCTGCTGAGGCATTGCTAAGGCTTGTGAGAAGAGGCTCAGGGTTGGGGACAAATTTGGGGATGGTGTTCCAGGAAAAAGAGGCCCAGACTCTGGGAAACTGCTTCTCTTATACTGGAGCTCATCTCCCATTTGCCAGGAGTAGAAAGGCCTGGTAGGAAGAGCTCACCTAAAGGAGACTGAAGCTGTAAAGGCCAATTAGAGAGGAGGCAGGCACACCACAGAACAGAGTCAATAAATTTACAGATTCAGGGGAAATACTAAACAAGGTGATGCACCTAGGAATGCAAGCTTTGCTTTCCAGAGGGATGGCCATGGGTTACTCTAACAAATAGTCTGTCACTTTTATAAGCAATGTTTTCTTAACTTCCTTCCCCTTCTCCTCAAAGAGAACTGGAAGAGAATGAGATGCCTGGAGATAGTAAGTGGCCTGAGGACCTTGTTCTGAGTTTTTGGGCTCCCACTAGGAGTTTTGAGGGAAGTTTTGTTATGAGCTACTTGGAAGTCTAGATTGGTGGGCTCCAGAGTACAGGCCTCCAGCCCGCAGTGGACTGCAGAGGCTCACACTGGGAAGCAGGGGAGAGGGAAGAGGCAAGAGGCAGAGAAGTACTGGAGCATCGGTGCTGGCCATAAGGACTGAGACAGAAGAGTTAGAGGAGGAGTGAAGCAAGGGACTGAAAGCTGCACATGGAAAACTGAGGCAACACTGCAAAATAGGAAAAGATTATCTGAGGGATGGTGGGCGATGAAAAGTTGCCTTTGCCTTTTCCAGCCACTCAGAATATCCATGTTCTGTATAAGTTTTGTGTTGGAGGAAATTGGGAAAACAGGTTCTACTACCTGTTTCACTACCTTCATTGCTACGTTTTTCATTTTGCAACATTTTAAGTTTCAATATTCTGAGTGTAGCAAAAAGGAGCTAAGCAATGTGGAAAGTAAGGACTTCTTTCTCTGGCTTTCCTACCTCCATCATTGATCCAGTCTCGCTCGATTTATTGATATCCTGTGTATTTTTCTTTATATAGATGAATTTCTTTCCTCCTTTGCTGATTCTCCCAACCTAGTACATTTATCAAATTTAAGGATTCTTTAACTCTGTTAATGATCCCAAGACAAAATGGAAATGTGTGTGAATAGGGGTGATGGCAGGACAGGGGCAGCCAGGGAGAGAAAAGAGGAACAGGTCAGACACATGAACAAGCATAATTCTAGGAGGACAGTACATTTCAATGTTATTTCTTAATCTCAACCTCTGTAAACAAAACAAAACTCTTTCCTTCCACGTTCCCAACCTCTAAATTAGTGAAACCAGATTGTCCTAATAAGCCCTTTTGTTGGAAACACATGTAGTCATTAAAAGGTAGACGAAAAGTCAATTAGACACGCGTGCACACACAGGCACTCTCCCCAGCTGTGCCAAGGGGGCACCGGGCAGAAGCAGGATGTGAACATAGAAGAAATGGGGACCTGGAAATCGATTTGTCATCAAATGAGAGGAGCAAATGCAGCCAGTGTAGCCGGTGCAGCCCACCGGCCACACACTTTCGGGCCCATCTCCGGACTCCTCTTCGTTACTGTGACAAATACCCAGGAAAATGGGATCGTTTTCTGGGGCGCTACCCAGAGGACATTTGCACCCAAGTCTTATCAAGCCCTCAGCGCTTGTAACAATTATGCGGCCTGAGGTGTCTCTCGCACCGTTGCCCGGAGACTCATGCAAGCTTTTAAATTTGAATTCGAGCTTCAGATAGCTGAATTCATCCGAGGAATTAATGAAGCATATCATTTTAAGGATAACTGAAATTTTTTCACCTCAGACGGGTGGAGGTATAACCCAGAATCAGGGAAATTCCATGAGTCCCCAAAGCCGAATGTGAAAATGGTGGTGAATTCTGTTTATTTTGCAATCACAGAACAGGGGGGTGAGTGGCATCCTTTTAAAATTTTGGAAAATGACCAGTCCGATGACCCCCGCTGGATCCGGGCAAAGGACAATTTCAACTCTGAAGTATTAGGGAGGCACTTTCGAAGTCTGGGCTCCCGGCTGCTCAAGCGTCCTTCCTGGGGCTCCAAGTCTCCAGCTCTAGACCTCGGGGGTTCACTGCCCCTGCTGTTCACCTCGCGGGTGAAGCCCTTTCGAACTCACAGCGTCTGGACGTCGCGTACACACACTTCTTGGCTTAGGGACCTCACCCGGTGCCTCAGGTCAGCCTTGCTGCACCAGGCGGCAGCGAGGGTCACGGGGTCCCTGGAGTTCCTTTGTCTTCCCAGGGGCGTCGTTTTAAATTTTACAGCACCAGTGAATAAATCAACTCTAAACCAACAAAATGTCACCCCCCTCACTCCCTTTGCTAAAAGAAGCCCTTCAGATGCAGAGAGGACTGCTTTTCTCTCTACTCTTCCTACACTGATTTGCTGGGACGGGAGGGAGTTTCAAATATAGGTTAATAGTGTTTGCCCCTCAGACTCATTTCCACTAAGTGACAGCTGTAGATTTTCAACTATGAGGGTCCTGAGACCAATTTGAATTTTTAAACTTTAAAGAACCTTGGAGCTCTTTTACAGTTCTATCCTCTGCCTACAAGCTTGCTTCATTGGCCGGCCACTCCCAAAGCAAACCCTCTGGAGAACCCCTCTCGTTGGCAGAAACACGAGGGCCCCGTGTACCATGTTTTGGCAAAAGTCTGTACCCATGGTGCATCTTATTTTATGTTTTTATCTTAAGAAGAGATAGAACCAGCAGAAGCTCTATGAATAACAGTGCCTTGAAATCTAGACTCTTTGTAGAGAAGGAGATAAGGCTTGATTTATGTGTGCTGTTATTGTTATTATTGCAGAAGACAGGAGACTGTAAAATGCAGAGGCTGAGCATTCTTTAGCCAAGTCTTTGTAAGTTTAATCAGTAGGGCTAGCAGAGGTAAAGATAGACATTTACAACACATAAACAAAAATTGGATGAGGGGTCCATATGGCCATTTTGTGTTCACACATTTAGCTGTGGATGTACTGTGTGATTGTTGGCCAACTCTGTATTTCACTCTGATGCAGTGATATTGCTTGGGTACTCTAACTCTCTTCTGTACAAGATAAAGAGGATTCATGTGTCAATGGTGGTGCTGTTATGTATCCATAAGAATTTTATCACTGAAAAAGCAAAAACTATTTTGTGCAGGCTAACAGCAC